ACCCGACATTCTTAGAGGTGCCTTCGCACAATTTCCCCCAGACTATGGGACCATAACACCTCAGGGCAGCAGTCAGAGAACAAGGCCTTGGTCTGGTCTGGCCTGTGATCTTGTAGCAGTCTTTGTAGTTTTTTAATTGTCAAGGAGAAAGAAACAAAAGGAACTATGCTTCAGGATATGTGAAAATGACATGACTTGGTCATGTCTATAAATATAGTTATAAATTATGTTGGAACACAGTTCCACATGTTGTCTACCACGGCTTTTCCGCTACAACAGCCTGAAGTAGTCTATGCAGCATGTGGGCCCACAGGCATAAAGTATTTTCTCTCTCGCCCTTTGTAAACCTTCTCTTCACCCTCAGCTCTTTTTAGGGGGACAAATGGGATGCCACCTTTTTCCTGACAACTTGTCCCACACTTATTTTATAGTAAGCTGGCACTTATAAGAGCAACAGAAGGCCACTCGGTGCCAGTGCCCACTGTGGGTCGCTTTCTGCGCATGGGCGCCTTTCTCGTTACTGTGTGATTTCACCACAGTCTTGAGAGAGACAAACACTACCAGTCCTATTTCCATGAGGAAGGCACGGGGACATAGCAGGAATTAACCCTCCCTCACAGCTCCTTAGAAGAGCGTCCCTCCCGGGCTGGAGGTGTAACACGCTGGTAGAGAATGTGCGAGTTCTTGAGCACCGAAAACATTTTTGAAAAGAGCATCGTGGGCTGGTGAGATGGATCGTCGGATAAGAGTGCTTGCCTGGCAGCCCTGGTGACTTGATTTCTCTCCCTGGGACCCACATGGTGCAAGGGGAGAACTGGATAACTCCTGCAAGTCGTCTTCTGACCTCCATAGGTATGCAAGGATTAGTGTGCGTGCATGCGTGTGTGTGCACATGTGTGTGTGTGTATGCGCGTGTGCGTGTGTGTGCGTGTGCGTGTGCGTGTGTGTGTGTGTGTGTGTGTGTAAGGGGGAGACAGAGCACCCTGAATTCCAAGCCAGGAGTTCCTGACTTGAATGCCTATGTCCTCTCCAGTCCATCGGTCTAAGATGACCTCCTACAGGCCTAGCCATCCTCCCAAACAGACAAGAGAATAGGAGTTTGGATGCTGGGGACAAGGACTCAGGCTCAGAGCCTGGCGTTGAGGTGAGAGGCAGCAAAGTCTGTAGCCGTGACAAAAGTGACAATTCTGATCAGCACCCTTTGAGGCTTCCTCCACTCATCAGCTTTCCTCTGGGAAGACTAATTTGCATTTAAATAGGAAAGGCCAGGAAGGGCCACACTATAGTGTTTGGGTGCTAATTAGAAATTCATTCCTCTTTAAATATGAAGGCACTTCCGTTAGTGTTTTGGGGGAGGGAGGTCAGGGAAAGCACCAGGGACGTGGGGAAGGCTGAGTGAGGTCTTTGGAGCTCCTCATCAGCAGAGGTCAGAGGGGTGTTCACAAGATCTATGCTGGCGTGAGGACGTGTCTTGGTAGCCTGGCTCAACTCAGAATGAACAGCGACAGTCCTGGGAACTGGAAGGTGGCCAGTGGGGTAGAAGTCTTCAGGTTGCCAATTTTTCAAATTGCTTAAAGACAACCCAAAGCAAGGTCCCCATCCATCTCTCTCACTACTTGCCCAGTGTGGAGCCCCTAGCCTGGCACTCAGTGGACACACAAGGAGTATTGGTTGCATAAATGAGAGTCAATATGTTACTGGGGGGGGGGGGGCCGCAAAGGTGGGGGTGGGGGTGGAGGGGTAATTGGTTCACTGCTGGGATGAGTCAGGTGTGCTGGTCCCAGTAGTTTATCTGAGCCTCCCCATTAAATGGTTTTTGCCCTCTACATTTCCCTGGAGCTTTGCAGATGCCACATTAACATTTCTCTTGGTCTTGAAGAAGAGTACTTTGCCTTGAACACGCTGACTTAACTTCAGGTTCGTGTGTGTATTTGATAATCGCAGTACAGCTGGAAGGTGAGTCAGGTTTTGTTATTCCCCACTCAAAAGTAGGAAAACAAAACTCCAGAGGTGAAGAGAGGAGCCTTGTGGTGACACCCAGTTCACTGTGAGCTTGGCCTTGGGCTCCCTCACTGGCTCTCTCTTGATTGTTCCACTCCCCCTTGTCCCTGTCCTGGGCTGGTTCTTCACAGCATCCTGTCCTGAGACTGGTCCTGGCCTTTAAGTGCAGGGTGCCCAAATGACGTGGGGAGCCCAGACTGCAGCTGAGCTCCCTGCCAGACTGAGAGCCTGAGGGCAGTCGCTGAGCTGATGGCCAAAGGTGCTGGGCCTCACATGCTCGTCCCTGCTTATTCAAACCTCTTTACCCGTCAGTGCTCAGCCTGAACACCACCTTGGAGGGACTGGTGTGATCCCTACAGACAAGAGTCATCTTCCCTGTGTTTCCATGGCATGTGCCCTGTGACTGGAAAGCATGTATGATGATAGCCTCTCACAGTAGTAACTACCATAGACATTCAGGGCACCATGAAAAATCTTTTATGTAGTCTATATAACTTCCCACTCATGAGACCCCTAGAATAATTATGGTGGTGGTTAAGAAGTGCATATTACTTATTACATGTAAAGAACTGATCTGAGTACTGTGAGCAACTTAGCCTGTAGGTCTGCCATTCTACTGATGCAAAAACTGAGTCTTCCAGTGGGCAAACAACTTACCCCAAGGCCACAGAGTTAGAGAGATGTGTGAAATCCCATTTGTCTGGCCCCAGGTCAGTGTACCCATTTTCTGGATGACCAGCTGTGACACACTGAAGGCAGGAACCACGTGCTGTGTCTGCCACCCTTATCAAGTACACCTCTTGAAGCTCAGGCCAGCACCCGTACACAGTTGGTTATCCAAAGACGCAGCTGAAGTGGACCAGAAGCCAGACGTTCTTGAGTGTTGGCTGTATGCCGGTGAGTCTGCATAGTGATCCTTGAATGCAGTTCGCTGGGTTAAAGCCAGGCTGCAAGAAACAGTCCACTTCAAAGCCAGAGAGGATACACAATGGAGCAGAAACGACAATCTGGTAGAAATCCCCCCACCCCCACCCTGCAAAAGATTCCTTGCTGCCTCATGTCAGTCACCTGGCCTGGGTATCCCCTGGCACCATCACCCCCAGCACACGCACATGCACGCGCGCGCGCACACACACACACACACCCACTGCTCATTTATATCACCAACCATCTCTACCAGCAGCAGGCCCTCAGCATGCCAGGGGATGCCTTTGCACAAATGAATGAAAAGAAAATTTACCTGCCCGAGAGGCAAAGGACACCCAGAGACCACTGTAGGAGAAAAGGAGGGAGCAATTGCAGAGGGTCCCCCCCCCCCCCCCCCGCCTCCCCCAAGCTGGCTCAGTCTTGTTCCTACGGTAGTGTAGGCAGGATCCCCTGGGGTTTCTCTACCAGTGGACGATCTGCCACAGCAGTTTCCATCTGATTGACTGGAGAAGGAGCTAGGTGGGACCCACACACGCCCATCAAGACAGGAGGAAAAGCCTTAGGCTCAGCCCTATTTGAATGGCTGAGTGTCTCTCTATGTGCCCAGCTTCCAGGGCCTGCTCTGTAGGATGGTGAGGGGGAGGACATGCTCACCTCACACAGACAGTAACTGCCATGGATACCAACAACAAAGAGGCCAGGGAGCAGGACTTCTCAGCAGATACAAGAGAATTCAGAAAAGAGAGAAGGGCTGGTTTTTCAGTGGGTGACCAATAGGCTGCTCCTTTTTGTTTTGATTTGGTTTTTTGTTTGTTTGTTTGTTTTTGAGACAGGGTTTCTGTGTAGCACTAGCTGTCCTGGAACTCACTCTGTAGACCAAGCTGGCCTTGAACTCAGAGATCCGCCTGCCTCTGCCACCACCATCCAGCGTCAACAGGCTCCTTAAGCTTACCTTTTCTATCATAGAAGTTAGAGTGAGTGAACATAAGCTAACGTGCATGTGGGGCATACAGCTCTGCTTTCTGAGTGCGAGCCAGGACCACACCATTTGAACCACACTGTTTGATATAGCGCCTCCATTTTGGTCAAGTTGCAACAATTTCAGCAACTAAAGTTACTTGGTTTCTTTCTTTTGGGCTTTTTTATTTATTTTATGTGCACTGGTGTGAAGGTGTCACGTCCCCTGGGACTGGAGTTACAGACAGTTGTGAACTGCCATGTTGGGTGCTGGGAACTGAACCCAGGTCCTCTGGAAGAGCAGCCAGTGCTCTTAACCTCTGAGCCATCTCTCCAGCCCAAGTTACTGGGTTTCTAAAAAATAAATTAGTTTATAGATTCTTGATAACCCACCCTGTACCCTCAAGTAAAGTCCACACAGGAAAGACGTTTATGGATCACCTGACATCCTTTAACTATTCACTGATCACCCCCAAGCCAGAAAGGGGAAATGCTCAGCCTTCTTCCCCATCCCATCCCTCTCTGGCCTGTAACTGCCTAGCTTGTACATGGTCAGCCAGCTAATTCTCACAAGGCGCCCCCTCTATGGGAACCCCCCAAAGAAAATCCTGCACTGTCTGAAGTCGCCTGTTCCCTTGTCTGTGTTTCCTGCTCACTGACCTTTCACTGAGGACTTTTAGTGCTGTTTCAGGGAATTTTTCTCTCTGGAGTGAATCTCTGAGGAGAAAACAGGGTCAGGGAGAAAAAAACTGCATACCAGAAATCCCTCTCCAACTGCCATGGAAAGGGGACCACTGGGTTGGGGCTCAGGAGTAAATGAAATGATAGAGCTAAGTTCTCAGACCAGGAGGCTTAGAGAGCTTGCCATCTTCAGGACCATTGTCCTGAACCCTTCCAACCCTCAATCTCTGTAGCTATAAACTGATCCAGTCTCCCAAGGGGACTGAATTTGAGGCTTCATTAAGCAATCGTATTTGATAGGGTGGTAGTCACAGGGCGTGTATGTTTGTCAAAACCATCCAATATTTATTCATGCATTTATTATATGTACATTATGGTCCAATAAATTTTTTTGCCGTGCGGCAGATGGAACTCCAGGCCCCGTGAGCGCCAGGCAAGCACTCTGCCACTGAAAAACGCTGACCCTCTATATCCTGTTTTTTGTTTTAATGTGAGTTTACGTAACTAAGTAAATCAGCCCCACAGCATAGGAAGTATTTGTTCCTTTCTTAGTCCCTGGTCTTCTGCCTGGAAAGAGAGGGGAGAGAAGGCACCTCTAGAAACAGGACTGCACAGGGAGGGTTTGTCACAAGCTGTGCTGATTTCCCAAGCAATGACCGCCCAGGGAGACGCTGGTGTTCTGGATGCTTCTTGCGGCTTGAACATGGGCCTCTCAGCTGCAGGGGAAGTGCCTGTGTGATCGAGTTGCTGCGTTAGTTCTGACGTCATAGCCCAGGGTCATTCCCCGCCCTGCAGCCTAGTTGCTTCTTGTCCCGGAAGCCCCTCCATCACTATTGTATGTCCACCACCACTATCCCTTTGTCTCCCAGCCTTCCTGCTGAGCTATTCTTTGGTCCCTGAGCAGAGTGGCATGGTGACTAGGGGCTGCAGGCTGTCACTCTTAATGAAGCGTTGGCCCGGAGAGACAATCGTCTATCACAGCAGCCCCGGGATGATCCGTGAGCTGCATGTTAGGAATGCCTGGCAAAGATGGGTTACAGCTCAATTAAAGAAAAGTGTGTGTGTGTGTGTGTGCCTGCGTGAGGGGTGTGCATGCGTGCTCACTCACTGGAGGCTGGAGAGTAGAGTATGAGAATCAGGTAAATCGAGGGAAAATGTGCCCTGAGCATTGGCCAGAAGCTGACATCTTGCCTGAATGGCAGCTGCTTGGGAGATGTTAGAGATCGGACCCTTGCTGCCGCGCAGCCCCCAAACCTGGGAAAGCTCGTGGTTTGCTGTTCGCCTCATTCTACGGAGTAATGAATATAAATTCAATAAACCGTGTATGAGGGTAATTTTGAACTCAATTTGGGACTCTCCAGTCTAAGACAATCGTTCAGGGTGCCAGCTTTTCCGCTTCATTTGGATTTACAAGATTTGGTCAGAGGGGCAGAGGATGGAGGTCAGGGCGGGGCTCTCAACTATTACATACAAAGCCCTGAGCCGGACCAGCCAGCTCTGGGGAAAAAAGAAGAGGCTGATAAGATATGGGACCAATTCAAAGGTGAAGGTGTTTCCAGTGTGGCGTTCCTTCAGGAGTCCTTCCCTCACTTCGCCAAAGATGCTCCCATCTAGGAACAAGGAAGAGAAGGTCATGGGCTGAGATTGTGACAACCAGGCCACCAGACAACAGCCACTTGGGGCTGGAGAGATGGTGGGCAGTTCGCAACATCTGGCAGCTCCAGCTCCAGGGGATCTGAGGCTCCCTTTTGACCTCTTCAAGCATCTGTGCGCGCGCACATACACACACACACACACACTCACGGCGGGGTGGGGGGCGGGGAGGGATGAAAATAAAACAAACCTAAGATAACTGCAGCCCCAACCACGATTGCCCTGTAACATCGCCATGACGAGCTGTCTAATGCTCAGCTCAGAACCTTTGCCATAATTAAGAACTGAGTGGTTGGATACTTGGGGACAAAATAAAATCAGTTCCAGTAGAAACCAGCAGGCTGGGGCCAGGCTAAAATACGAACAAAGGGAGGTGGGATGTCGGGGAAACAGATAACCCAGTGGGCTCTGCTGTGGGGGTCGGTACTGATTAGCTCCGCGCAGGTTCCCGGGGTTCATATCCACTCAGCTCCTCCCTCCCCACCCAAACGACAAGGGGCCAGAGCAGACATAAAGAAAAGAGTTGGAGCTGACATCTTGCCTAATTTAAACTCTGCTCACAGAGAGGCCCGAGAACAGAAGGAGGGGCGGACATCAAGTAAGTAAATGTCAGCCCTTACAGTTGGTCAGAAGCCATCAGCCGGGCAGAGGCTCCAATCAGAAACCGTTCAATTAGCACAGTAAAAGAGGAACAGAGCGGGACCGGGCACAGCGGGGGAGGGACGGAGCAAGGGAGGTGTAAGGCAGAGATCAATAGAGGATTACTACCGTGAGATGTGCAGATGACAGAGGCTAGCAGATGCCTTCCATATAACAGGGCACCCAAGCCAGACACCCTCCATAAAATGTCCACCCAGTTCCTTGGCTCTCTCAGATCCTGTCCCAGGGGGCCAGGCCATCTTGTGGACTATTTTGGAAGAGATTTCTCCCTTTTGCTTGAACCCAGAGACAAATGGGCAGCTTTCAGCCACTCGGGAGCTGGGGGGTTGGGAATGAATTGGAACACACAGAGAAGGGAGTGACCCTCTGCAGGCAGTGCTGGGAGGTTGCAGTCTGTTTTCTGTGTAAAGCTACTCGAACTGATAGGGAAATATATCCGATTGTGAGGTAGGGTCACATAGGCATGTTTCCCTTCAAAGCTAATTATTATTTAACTAGCTAATAGTTGTTTAATTTTGCATACGGTACTTGCCAAGGCCAAGACTTTCTTTCACTTTTTCATTTGAATAAACTCATTTTCTTGTCCAAGGAGAGATTAAGGTTCCTTCCCTTTCTCCTAAATTGGAAGATTTAAGATCAAGACTCTGAAAAGCCGAGTCATTTGCCTGAGATTGCCATATGCTCCTAACCCCAGGGGTGGGGTCGGGGGGATAACATAAGTCACCCTATTTCGGGACAGTCGGGGCCCAGGGGCCCCCAAGGTGCAGGGCATCCATCTTCAGAGAGTGGATGCCACTCGAGTCCTTCGTCGTCCACCTTTGTAAACAGGTGCCCAGTGAGGATTGCCAGTTAAATTCTAGAAAACCCAGTGAAGTGGGAACAGTTGGGGTCGACTAAGAAATTATTTATAGACGGAAATTCAGATTTAAGTGGGTGCTCTTTATCTTTATTTACTAACCTGTAGATTTTATATCGAAAAGAAACAACTGCCCTAACCCGTCAAGTCCCAGCACTGTCCAAAGGGCTTACCCACGACTTCTCTAACGTCTGCAGGCGTCTCTGTGAAGTGAGCAAATCTGCTTCACAGACAGACGGCTGAGGGAGCTAGGGTTGGAGGGTTCAAGTAACTGTGATGCGGAGTCAAACAGAGAATCAGAGGCAGGATGAGATCTACCCTAGGTCTGATCAACTCCCAAATGCAGACTGAAAAGTCGGGTGAAGGAGAGGGCTCAAGAGAGCCCTTGCTTGGATGGCAGGTTGAGACAGACGCAGGTCTCAAGCCGAAGAGATGGCTCAGTGGTACAGGGTTTCCTGTTCTTCCAAAGGACCCAGTCCAGGTCCCAGAATCTATATTCTGTGGCTCACAACTACCAGTAAAAATAATTAAAAAACAAGCAAACAAACAACAAAAAATTAGGTTTCTTGGGTGGTCTTGAAGTCTTTGAAGGTTCTTGAACAGGCCAATGGAAGGGCTAGAGCAGTATTTGGAGGATTAGTGTGACCACAGACTGTACAATGTCAAGGAGTCTGGCAATGAGGACACTACCAGGTTTTTCCTTCTATGAAGATGGAGGCCACCCAAATTCAGAAGCTGGACCCTCTGCTTCGTTTTTATTCTGCGTGTGGTGAGTGTTTTGCCTACTTGAAAGTTTGTTCCCACATGCATGCAGTGCCCTTGAGGGCCAGAAGAGGGTGTCAGATCACCTGGAACTGGAGTTCCAGATGGTTGTGGACTGTTAACATGAGTGCTGGAAATTGAACCCGGGTCTTCTGGAAGAGCAGTCTGTGCTCTTAACCACTGAGCCATCTTCCCAGTCCCATGATCCAACTCTTAATTACAAGGAGCGTTGGAACAGGAGATACACAGACCATTAAAATCCGGATAGATCCCAAATTTGGTTGCTCATGCATTCCATGTTTGTGATGGCTAATCTTATGTCAACTTGACACATAAACCAGAGTTACCTGAAAAGAGGAAACCTCGATTGAGAAAATGCTTCCATAAGATCCTACTGTAAGGCATTTTGTTCATTAGTGATTGGTGAGGGAGGGCCCAGCCCATTGTGGGTGATGCTATCCCTGGACTGGTGATCCTGGGTTCTATAAGAAGGCAGGTTGAGAGCCGGGCGGTGGTGACACACGCCTTTAATCCCAGCACTCGGGAGGCAGAGCCAGGCAGATCTCTGTGAGTTCGAGGCCAGCCTGGTCTACAGAGTGAGATCTAGGACAGGCACCAAAACTACACGGAGAAACCCTGTCCCAAAAAAACAAAAACAAAAAAAAAAAGAAAGAAAGAAAGAGAAGAAAAGAAAAAAGCAGACTGAGCAAGCCATAAGGAACAAGCCAGTAAGCAGCACCCCTCCATGGCCTCTGTATCAGCTTCTGCCCCCAAGATCCTGATCTGTTTGAGTTCCTGTCCTGACTTCCTTCAATGATAAACAGTGCTGTGGAAGTATAAGCAGAATAAACTCTTTCCCCCGTAACTTGCCTTTTGGTCATGGTGTTTCATCACAGCAATAACTAAGACAATGTTCTTCTCTCATCCCATAGGTTGTGGACACATCTGTATGTTTATCTAGTCATAGACAAAACAGCAAAGCATCATAGTTAAGAGAAAAAGCTTTGCAGATTTCAAGGCAAGTGCTAAAAATATAAAACCCTTAGGAGGGAACAGGCTCACATCTTCCTGACTTTGGGTTAGGCGATGGTTTCTTAGTTATGATCTCGACGCACAAGCAACAAGAGAGAAATTAAATATGCTGTTGAACGTGTCAGCCCGAATAATAACTAGAGAGGGATTCGTAAAAGGCAATGATATTTATTTGCAAATGACAAAGAATCGCAGTGGGAATGTATGGCCATGGTAAACTACGGGCATAATCTAGGACTGTGAGGCAAGAAGCGTTTAGAGCCAAAGATGAAAACGCTGCCTGGATGGGAAGGGCACTGGCCCAGGAATCCAGAGGCAGAAGTTGGCTCAGCTCCTCCGGGGTGTGGGGCTGTTCTCCTGCTCTGTCAAGAGCATGCTGTGGGAATTATTGCACTTCTGGAGAACATTAAAGACGTGCTTCGTTTCAGAAATCTGTGCTTCATTTCAGAAATCTGTGCATACATGTGAGCACGGAGCATGTGAGTACAAAGAAATATTTTCTGAGTTACGTAACTTCCATACTCTGATTTTGCTGGGATATCACAAGAATGATTTCATCTTTGAATAATTAACTTTCACACGTCTCACGGCTTTACTTCATTTTATTGTCTGATAATGTTTCAGTCTGTGGATATTCCCATTTCATTTAGCCAGTCATCAGTTGATAGACGGGCTTTCTCTTTGGATGACAACTCTGCCCTCTGAAAGTGAAGAATTGTACACTTTAAGTGGTCAAATCGTATGGCATATGGATCAGCTACCCCATTAAAGTTGTCTTTAAAAGAAAAGGAAGCCAGCTGCAATGTTGTGCAGTCACAGCTGGGCCAGCCTGGGCAACATAGCAAATGATGCCTTCAATCCCAGCACTTGGAAGGCAGAGGCAAGCAGATCTGTGTGTTTCAAGGCCAACCTGGTCTACATTGTGAGCTCCAAGCTAGCCAGGGCTATACAATGAGGATCTACCTTAACACAAATAAGTAAATAAATAAATAGTTGGTTTTTTTTCAAAGAACAAAGGATTTTAGCATTAGCTAGACAGAGGCTTGTATCCTCTCTTGGTCACAAACCAGTCTTCTGATACTAATTTCCTCATATAGAAAATCAGCATTATTATAACACCTATTTCACAAATTTGCTGAGAGGAGGAAATGAAATAATTCATGTAAAGTACTTAGCACAACTCCAGGCATACTGCAAGCTCTTTATTGAGGTTGCTTATTCTACTGAGGTTGGACGAGTTCCAGCTTCTGCATGTGATCACAGATCACCCTGATTCCCAGCACCTTCAGTCAGACAGGGTAGCTAGCCTCTGAAGTTGTAAATGTTCCAATGCGTAGTGTTCCCAGAAATACCTGTACACCTATCAGCTGTACAAACACACACTTCAGTTACAAACCCCAGCCAGGAGACAGCCAGGGTTTAATACTGTGGGAGTTTTGGGATATGTTCACTACGGGTAGGTGTATGTACAAAGAGCGTATCTATCTTTCTGGTAAACGTCCACAAAGCTGTTTCAGGTAGGAGTGTGACTCACTTCAGGCTTCATAATCTGGACCAGAACAGCCAGGAGATGTCAGGATTTCCACAGCTTTCACTTTGTTTATTCTTCTTCTATTTAAATGTGACCACGGACGCACAATACTTACATTTACGTAGGCAGGGTCGGCTGAGCAAGCACAGGTCCCTGTGAACCTGTGAGAGGACGTGCTGCCTGGTTAGACTGGACATTAATGTAGAAAGCTAACAGCAGAAGAGGAAATCACAAGGAACAGCATTCGGTTTCTGTTCCTTCTGTTGGTCCCCATTTTTATTTCTCAAGATGGGGCCATACTGCGTAGCTTAGGCTAGCCTCAACTTGTGACTCAGTTGCCCCAGCTGTCCCAGTGCTGGGATGACAGGCACGTCCACGCCTCGCCCTCTGAATCTTTTTACCAGTTTAAATGAAGGAAGATAAACAGGCAAAGGAGTCTGAATCTCAGAGATGGGGCGTGCCTCAGTGTTAAGAATAATTGCAGGGGACCTTTAGTCCCAGCGCTTGGGAGGCAGAGGCAGGTGGATCTCTGAGCTCAAGGCCAGTCTGGTCTACAGAGTGAGTTGAGTTCAGGACAGCTAGAGCTACATAGTGAGGCCCTGTCTCATAAAATAATAACAACAACAACAACAACAACAACAACAACAACAACAATATGGCTGGAGAGATGGAGAGCGGTTAAGAGCACTGGCTGCTCTTCCAGAGGACCTGGGTTCAATTCCCTGAACCCATATGGTGGGTCACAACCATCTCTAACTCCGGTCCCAGGGAATCCTTCATGCTCTCTTCTGGCCTCTGTAGGCACTGTATGAATGTAGTATACAGACATGCTTCAGACAAACAACCATACACATAAAAAAAATACATAGTCTTTTTAAAAATTAAAGAATAATTATTTATTATTAATGTCAGCATTTGAATATCTACTATAGACATATCTATGCACAAAACCCAGGGCAGGGAGATACTTTAATCCCCATTGTATAGAAGAGAAAATGGAAGACCACAGTTACTTCCTCAAAATCACAGAGGTAAAAATCAGCAGCACCAGAGCCGGAGCTGGAATCAGATAGAAACCTTCCTTATCTCAGGGCCACAGTTATTTCTGGTCCGGCTCGCCAATGAAAAAGGACCTTGAGGTCA